CTCTCTCATACTCACACAAACACATTACTTAAAAATACATTACACCTCTACATCCTCGAGCTACAGACTGATACATTAATCTGTTTCCTTTGTACGATTAAAATTAATAATAACCCTAATCTACTGCTTTGCCCCTTCTCTTTTGACGTTCTAATTCTTGAGCTAGATAGATATGAATGATACTTTACTAACAATAAATGACATTGATAGCTTAGAGATCGCACACTCTTTGGAATGTGATATTACGGCGCTTAATAAATATTTAAATGGTAAGAAATGTGACTTTACTGTGATCTTTCAAAACATTAGAAGTATCTATTGCAACTTTGACGACTTTTTACTTAATATTTCCCGACTCAGTTTTAAAACGGATGTCATAATATTAACTGAATGTAGGATTAACTTGAACAAACAGCTACCATTGTTACCTAATTATTACTCTTATTTCACGACATGTCAGCGTAATGTACCTACATATGTGTTCAATTGTAAATTGAATAATAAATTTAAAAAAAATAAATCAAAACGACGGGGTGGTTATTTATGTAAAGAATACATTGAAGCATAAAACTACTGAAATTAATTTAGAACAGGCGTCTTGTTTACAGCTTGAAATTTTGAACTGCATAATTTTAGGTATATACAGATCCCCAGCAAATAACAATGCGGAATGTTTTATTAACTCACTAAGCACTCACCTTGAAAGTTTAAATACAAGTAGCGGAAGTATTATAATAGCGGGTGATATAAATATTAACATAACTCCTAAACATGAAGTACCACCATATGAGCAAAGAAATATGTTGTGCTATTTAAATATGTTGTCTATGCATGGTATACTATCAGGCCACACTATACCAACTCGTGGTAAAAATTGTCTGGACCATATCATGTTAAGGATAAACACTAAAATGCTTAGAGCAACAGTGGCTGTATTGAACACTTCTACCACTGACCATTATACAACGCTTTTATCACTTTCTAAAATTAAAAATAGTTACACTGTGAAAAAAACTAATACAACTATAAACTTTGAAGAAGCTTTAAAACAATTAAAAATGAAAATTCTAGCAAGTTCTTTCTATTGTGATGACCCAAATAAGGTCATAAATGACTTGATTCACGCTTTGTCAGAAACATTAAATAATAACACGAAAATCACCAATATACCAAGTAATCACCGCATAATAAAACCATGGATCACACCGGGTGTCCTACGTTGTATTAGAACCCGAAATAAACTTCAACAAAAATGCCGTAGTAATCCATTTGATGAAGATAATAAACGAATCTACAATAGATACAGAAATTACTGTAATAATCTTATAAAGAAGCTAAAAAGAAACTACGAAATAGAAATACTAAAAAATTCAGTCAAAAATAATAAACTATTATGGAAAAATATTAAAAATATTACGTATACTAGTAACAATAAATCCACCAACACAGAACAGACGAATTTGAAATTGACTCCCTCTGCCTCTGCGGATCATGTAAATAAGTTTTTTGTTAATATTGGCAAGCAACTTGCTCAGCAAAATACAAACACCGAATGATGAACTGAAAACTTATCTCAAAAACTTAGCAACACAAATCAACTCCTTCGTTCTCCTGCATACTGACGAACATGAAGTAAACTGTATAATTAGGAACCTAAAATCGAGTAGTGCGCCTGCCTGGGACAATATCCCTACAGCATTTTTAAAATCTGCAAATTCCGTAGTTGTTCCCATTATTACCTATGCTGCAAACCTCTGTTTTGACAAAGGAATTTTTCCGACACTTCTTAGGTTGTCAACTATAACTCCTGTGTATAAGAGTGGAGACAGAGACGATGTCAATAATTACAGGCCTATATCTGTATTATCAGTGATATCTAAAATACTGGAAAAATTACTCAATAAAAGATTACTAGATTATTTAAATAAAAACAATATATTGTCTGTAAATAAATTTGGTTTTCAGCGTGGAAGATCTGCGGAGAATGTAGTAATCTCCTTGAGTTCTCTGGTTACAGAAAACTTGACAAACGTAAGAAATGTTTGTCAGTATTTTTGGACTTAAAAAGAGCATTTGACACCGTCTCTCTCTCCATACTGGTACACAAATTAGAAAAGATAGGTATAAGAGGTACTCCACTTTGTATATTCATTGATTACTTGACAAATAGGAAGCAAACAGTGAAATTAAATAACCACATCAGTAGGTGCGAAAAGGTTTTGTATGGCGTACCCAAAGGTAGCGTTCTTGGTCCTACGCTTTTTCTTATTTATATAAATGACCTATGTGATTTACAGATCAAGAACGCTAATATTTTCTCTTATGCTGATGATACAGCCATTGTATTCACTGATAATTCTTGGGATACTCTGAAGTCTAGTGCGGAACGGGGACTGGAGCGTGTAAACAGATGGAAAATTAACAATTCACTTACCTTAAATACTAATAAAACAAACTACATCTGTTTTAGTATAAATAATGATACTCAGCCTAAAAATAATTTTCACTTAAAGATTCATAATTGCAAAACTACAGGTAACACCAGTAAGTGCACATGCCCTTCTATCATTAAAGTTGCACAATCAAAATATTTGGGTGTTCTTGTGGACCAGCGACTCTCGTGGTATCCACACCTCAAACATGTCATTAAAAGAGTAAGAAAACTTAATTGGATTTTTAAAACACTAAGATATGTAGTGCCAGGACCAGTCGCTGGTCCGCGAGTCTCGTCGTCTAGGGATATACTTAAGGAAATATACGTGAGTTTGGTTCAATCTGTATTGATTTATTGTATTCCTGTATGGGGTGGAGCTCCTAAAACTCGTTTTCTCGAGTTGGAACGTGCGCAACGCAATTTGCTTAAAATAATGTATTTTAAAAAAAGACGATTTGCCACTAGCAGTTTGTATCAACTATCAAATTTAGCCACTGTAAGGAAACTCTACATCACTCAAACTGTACTTAGACAACATAGGTCTCTAAAATATGATCTAAATATTTCGAAGAGGAGAAGGAAAGACATTGTGGCACAAGTACCTAAAGTAAATACAACATTTGCAAACAGACAATTCAGCAAACGATCGGCCCATTTGTACAATTTAATTAATAAGGAATTAGAAATATACGTCAAAAGTTATAGGGACTGCAAAAAAGTTACATCAAAATGGCTACAGTCGAAATCGTATGAGGAAACCGAAGATTTATTAGAACAGTTGCTTTAAAAACACTACTTTCCTAATCTATGACAACAGGTTAACACACAGACATACATACACTCACACTCACTCACTTACTAACTCACACATACATACATACACACACTCACTCGCACATACATACATATATACACACACACACACATTAAGTATAAGTTAAAAATGTTAAATATGCATTTATAGCTATGGAAGAGCGGTGCCTCCTGACACAGGCTTGATAAGCTTAATAGGAGGTACCATCCACTGTTAATGTAAAGTTAATTGTATTACTTAAATAAACATTTATTATTATTTTATGTTTAAATTCTTTACCGACTACCTTCTAAATAGCACGGGGCGATCTGTTATGGGCCTTACAAACAAATATAATTTATTTTGTTAAATATTATTTAAGAAACGCCGTTGATTGTCTGAAATAAATAAACTTAAGTTTACGAGGAAAAATTTAGACAGATAACTATCTTAAAATCATAAAAATACTAATTTTTACATTCACTGTCAATTTATTTTTACTACCGCGACACATGGTGTTCCTAGTGCGGGGCTATGTTGAGTGTGTGCGTTATTATTATTTATTACTACTAAGCAACTAAAATGCAGAATCCACTAAATCCACTTATGAAACTTAAAATTCCATCCCCAAAAAAACATTTCAAATTATAACGAAAAAGTATCCTGCCATAAAAACGACAGTGACAGTTCGTCGTTGCTCGATTGCGTTTTGCGATAAAAAGCTTACGTGAAACAAGCTTTTAAATTGCATCACGCGTTAAAAGCATCGCAGCGCCTGATTAGTCAACTCAAGGTCATATCGCGCAACGCGATGAATTGCGACAATTTATTGCCAGAATGTTTGCATTGTGAATCCACCTTAAGCGTTGGTCACTGGTCAGTTTAAAAAGCGTTTAGTTTAAGTGAAAAGTGCTTTTAGAAGCACGCTTTTTAAACGCACGTTTTAACGTTAAAAAATAAGCAGTTTTTTCCATTTCAACGGTTAACAAATACAAAAATTAAACAACTTATGTTTTTGACCGCTTTTATACGCCCATGAACAAAATGTTAGTATAAAGATGTTATGTCATAAATAAAAATATAACTCGTTTTTTACAAAAAAAAAACATATCTTAAAATCTTTAGTAGTCTACTCTTGCGTTTCGCTATCAACACAACGTTGCAAGCCTTTTTTAACATAAAAGTCTATGCGCCTAAACGTTTTCTAAACGATTTTGTTAGCTTCAAACTAAAAAAAAAAGGGATTCGCTTTGGGCCTTTTGGAGGGAAGTGTCGTTTTTATTTTGACTTTCAATTATTTTGTGAAATCTAGTTTAAAGTGGAATAGGATAGTGCTATGGTGCCTCGAACTAAAATACCCGTATCGGCCTGTTCTAAGGAATTCCGAGTCAATCCAAGCACGCCGCCTAAAATTACCTATCCTCTTTATGGCGGTCATATTTACAGAAACATAATTAAACGAAGACATGGCTCAAAGGACTTGTATCCACGCCAAAAATATTAATTAAAAAAAAAATTTTAATTAAAAAGTTAAAAAAAATTAGCAGGTTTTCCCTTCTCTAGTCTGGTGTGCCGTTGTCCGTACATCGTAAAATTTTCTACCATGCTATACTATCTGCAGCTTGATTTTGATTGCCTCTCCCTTTATTTCTAAGTCAATGCCTCTCCCGATCGGAAACTGCGTCTCTTCCGAGTCGAGTCGACCAACTGTAACTGAAACTGTCGAAAACTTTTGACATTTCAAATCGGAACAATAGTTGATTTAACTCACAAATTGGAAAAATGTAGTAGGAATCAGCGTCCTGATTTTGATTCAAATGGAATCGATCCGATCGAGTAGTCTCGAAATCAGATGGGTTTCTGAGCGAGAAGATGAACCTGATTCTTACTATATCTTTCTAATTTGTGAGTTAAATCAACTATTGTTCCGATTAGAAATGTTAAAAGTTTCCTATCGGCCAGTTGTAAATCGCAATTATGCGCCTCGACTCGGAAAAGACGTAATTTCCGATCGGGAGAGGCAATCAAAATCGAGTTGCTGGTTCATCTTGTCGCTCGAAAACCATCTGATTTCGAGACTACCCGATTGGTTCGATTCCAATTTGAATCAAAATCAGCATGCTGATTTGATTTTCTGATCTATCATAGGTATTAAATATAATATCTATATAATACACTGGTTGGGCAATGATCATGGGTTGAGTAACTGTTGGGTAATTTTCCAAAAAACTACAAATGGTGAAATTTGTCCGGAAAAATTCCAGAAAAATTGGAAAAATATAATTTCGAAGGCTCATATTACATTCTACGTTTAGAAATATCGACTCTATTTAACTACTACTTCTACTTTAACTTTTGACAGGTATCAACGTTAAATGTGGAAATTAAATGAAAAATATCCGGAAAAAGATTTAATTTTCTTAAAAATAGGATAGTATCAATAGAGCGATAATATAACGTTATAAAGAAGAAGAAAAATATGTTTTTTTTTTCAAAATGGTAATTTTTCCATGACCCAACATTATGTTGAGGACAGTTTTTAAAACTTCTACGCACATAATTAGGTTGTGAAGCCATCACAAAATTGAATGACTATATTTTATTACGAACGAATGCATTTACGACTTGAAGTTATTTTGACATTGATGTTTGAAATTAAAACAACCAACAACAATGTGAACAATGGCGTTATTTTGACATAACTTTGATGTCGTTCACGCCGGTAATCCGATTATTTTGCGTCGTGCACGAATAAATACGACGCGTTCGGCATTTTCGCAGTTGGTTATTCGTTATTACGAAAGATAGCAGAGCGAAATTTACCAGTGAGTTGTACCAAAATAACGTTAAAGTAACGTAATTATATTTTTATATCTGTACAATTTGTTAATTTCGTTTCATTTGTTTAGATCTCAGCATCGTGACTTGCACAATCATGGTCAGGATACTAGTGATTCTCCTGGCCATTGCAGCCACCCTTGTGGACGCCCAGACGATGTAAGTGGTGATTCTTTGGAATGTACACAACTATACACCTTCCTAGATTGTGATGATGCAGCCAACATCGGTTGAATATTGCTCACATGAATTTATCAGTTAGGTCGGTAATTTATAATCACCAATGTGACTTCGTTTGTCTGATAATGCCTAAATATTACGGGAGATGAAGCATGCTTATAGCTGTTTGACAAAGATACTATCTCATCCGCAATAGCCGAGTGCCGCTGTACCGCATGCAAACGGTGCGCGTGCACTTCCATGAGGTGGGCACGGAGTTAACGCCGCTGCGCGTCAAGTACCGTGTCTCTGGACCCGCGCCTGAGCCCCTCTCCAACTACCTTGATGTAAGTGCCCTGTAGGTGTAACTTTAAAGTGTTCTAACTTGCAAACAGCCTCATCAGCAGATAGAGGAGATGAATGAGGAGACCTCTTTGCTTTTAGTTGTTTAAGATTTTGTTACTTGCCATTTGATAATTGTTTTCACATAATTCAAAGTAGTTATCATAAAAGAGGGTATTACACTTTAGAACCTTGTTTTTCTTACATGAGGGGTGATTTAATAAGCCATACTGCTTTATTGCACAAGCATTGATAGATATTGTTTACTTAAGCTCATGTGATAACCCACTCTATGTTATTGTGACCGTGTTATCAGTCACAGGACACATTATGAAGACAGACATATGATGCAAATGCTTTAAATGTTAATATTGAATCTGTACAGAATTTAATAACTACTTATGGAGTTTAAGGGTCACCTCTAATTACCACAGCCAGATGGTGCACTACTGCAATGTATTAATTAAAAACAACTAATTATTTAAAATGAACAAAAAACGTATCCTCTGCTAAATAAATTATATATATATCTCTGTAAAAATGCCAATGGGCAACACAAAGTGTAACCTAGCTCTCAACAACAGCGAGTTTGGACACAATATAGACTTAATTTATATACTAAATAAATTAAATGAGTAATTCTTTGAATGCAAAATAATTGCCACATTTACGAACTCCGTGGCACTGCCCAGAACACCCAGACCACCACTTTAGAAAAGTTAATTTCCCAAATTCATCCCACCGAATCAAACTCTGAACCTTCTCATCCTGTGCTCATAGTGCAAACTGTTGGGCTACCAAGCTCATCCTATTTGTACTATTATATTATTTGCATGTGAAATCTACAAATACAAATTCATTGGTAAAGCAGATTGCCTTATGAAGAAATATTCAATTTATTTAGTAGTAAATTAAGTGCTATATTACATTGCCATCTTGAAAGTTTATGTTACGCAATCTGACATCACTCAAACACTTTTGTCGGTCTTTCAAAGAAATATACACAAGCTGCCGACAACAAGATGTCGTCGCGTCGGAGCTTACTCGTTTGGTAGAAGAAATTATAATTTATTTAGTGGAGGATAAGTATACACTTTTTTAGCTACATAGTCAGTTCGAATATTGCCTCCAAAGCATCCAAACAACATCCTGTACTATGTTATATTGCATTGTATAAAGTGCGCCCAGTGCACCTCATTATTTGTTCAAAAAGTTTATGTTGCATTGCTCGTTTGAATGTAATGCAATCGCGCCGCCGCGCGCTGCTGCGGCAATACAAGAACCATTCATGTGCCCTGGACTAATGCTCTGACAGATCTTTGTACAAGGCGCTGTGAGTGTGGTAGTACATTGTCCTACCCCAGTGTTCTTATTGATGTTAATTCTCATTTTGAGTTTTAAGTTTTGGTTTAGTCATTATTTGCCATATATCAGATTTGCCACCTTTTACATGTTGTACTATAGTTAGGCAATAATTGGTCGCAGGCGCAATACTACGGACCGATATCGATCGGCAATCCGCCACAGACGTTCAAGGTGGTCTTCGACACGGGCTCCTCCAACCTGTGGGTGCCCTCCAAGAAGTGCCACTATACCAACATCGCATGTCGTACGTACACATCGCATTTAAGTCTGCTATTTCAAATGAGGAATTTGTTTAAATTTAAAGTATACCCTATACGTGCACATAGGCGATAACAGCAAACGTGCATGACTTGTTGGAAATTCCACACACTCCCTAGCAGTACACTTTCCAGCGCATTCTATTTTGAATGTTGTGGTGTAGAAATTGTAGGTACAGGACTTATCACAGTAAATATATATCGAATCTCTAAACAATCAAAAGCGCGTGTTGGTATATTTTTACATAAATTTAATATATGCTATTGACTTGTCTTACTGAAAAATTCAAAAAGAAAAAGATTGTTGTATGTTGTGATTGGAACATCGATATTTTGAAAGAAAATTTAGCAGCCAAAGATCTTATTAGTACCCTAGAAACTATAATTTTAGCGTCCATACTTACTCCAACACGACTAAACTCTAGCAATGACCAAATAACTAGCAAACATGAACACCGCAAATTTATGGTGAAATTCATCACCTAGGTCTCTCAGATCATGAAACTGCGCAAACCTTTAAGTGTAAAAGTCAAGAAACAAAAAGTTTATAATATAGAGAAACATTAAAAAATTTTGTAACTGCATACACTTTCTTTCGTTTTTTGCCGTCGTAAATTCAGGTAGGATGACAACCGCGTTTGATGGTTTTTATGATTTGTTTTCTTTATTGTATAATGTAATTGTTAAGTAACTAATCATCTCACAAAAGTTGCGTTGGCTCATTAGAGGTGTAAAAAAGTCATGTAAAATCAAACGAATATTCATAAAATCAAACATATGTATAATAGAAAAATCAAATAAATCGTACAATAAACTACATTATAAAAACTACAATACACTGCTTAAAAATGCGTATTAAAATCAAAACGAATCAGTAATACTCAATACATAAGAAGCAATAAATACCAACAAATGTAGAGCGACTTAGAACACCATATTCACACACACTCTCTCAAATGACTCCCATAAGGGTGACATTAATTCGCTACAATTCAATGACCATGTACATCATAATCATGATGACATTTGTAATATTTTTAATACCAATTTATTAAATTTAACTAATAACTCCAACTTGACTCAAACTCACATGACATCAGACATAATTAAATATTTGGGTCTTTCTCAAAAACGGACTTAAAATGATAAAAAAAAACAATGTTTTCTGGTATGATTCAAAGTAGTCTCAAATGAAAGGTACCGTATCCTACAATATGTTTCACTTAAGAACCTAGCTATTATCACTGTAGTTTTCATGAAAAAAAGGAAAAAAGTAAAAACGCCTCCATGTAGTGACACAAATCCATGCAAATTGTGTCACCTCCATGGCACTAGATGGATTTTTTTTGAAAAATCGTACCTTATAGATCAGTGCGCCAAAACTTACTTACTTATCCCGGAAGATAGGACACATAGTACGACAATAAATAAAATTTGTGATAGTCACAAGCCTCTCATAAAACAAACGTATTCTCTAATTATGAAACAAAAAAACAGTGGCATTCCACAAGGAAATATTTTAGGACCGGTTCTTTTCAGTCTGTACATAAATAATCTTCCAAATGCCATAGATTACGAAAGCATGCTGTTCGCAGACGACACCACCCTATTAAAATGCTATAATAGAGACAACTTTGAAATGGAAATAAATGAAGCACTACATAAAGTGATCAAATGGTTAAATGCAAATGACTTAAACATAAATATTAGCAAAAAACATGTTGTTGAATGCAGTTCAGGTCACATAATTGTAATCCGTTGTCTATTCAAGTGCACTATAATAATGAATGAAGTGGTAAATATTGTGGACTGTTTTAGCTTCCTGGGAGTAAAATTTGACAAACTTCTAAAGTGGAAACATCACATTGATCATGCCTACGTAGGCTAAGACAAACTGTATCTCACGAAGCCGCAATGTTGGTTTATCACGGGTACGTCTCTGTATTAAGTCATGGGCTGATACTGTGGGGAAACTCGGTAGGTGTGGGTAGGGTGTTTTTAGTGCAAAAGAAATGCATTGACACATGCAAGCTCTTTAAAAAAAACTCAGTATACTACTCCTCGCCGGCATGTATGTTAGACATCCAAGTCAAGACACACTCTCAACATTTCAGAATACGTGGCGAAATAATTCAACGACAAACTCGAGTTAAAACTATGAACCAATAATGCCAACCTCGTGCCATAAAATAATTTATACGAATAACTGCTTCAACATGTGCATCAAGATTTTTAATAATTTATCAAATGACATTAAATTACTACAAGGACGTACTTTTAAACTACAATTGACAAGATGGCTTTTGACACATTGCTTCTATAGTAATAAAGAATATTTCGAATTTACAAATACTAATGAAAATGCAATAAACAGTGCACAAGACACAATAAATTCCATTACATTTGCATACCTGCTTGCAGGTTGAATACATTGTACGTAAAATATTTACCATATTCTGGCAAATAAACGTATTCTATTTTATTCTACTTAACCATTATCTATCTATCCATCTACATTAACCAGTCCAGAAGTTCCGAGTTGACTTGATTTGTTGTACTCAGTGTTACACAACAAGTACGACAGCGGCAAGTCGAAGACGTACCACAAGAACGGCACGGCGTTCGCCATACACTACGGGTCGGGCAGCCTGTCGGGCTTCTTGTCCACCGACCAGGTGGAGGTGGGTGGCATCGCAGTGCGCGATCAGACGTTCGCCGAGGCCACTTCGGAGCCGGGGCTGGCGTTCGTGGCGGCCAAATTCGACGGCATCCTCGGCATGGGCTTCCCCTCCATCGCCGTCGACGGCGTCGTACCGGTCTTCGACAACATGGTCGCGCAGGGACTCGTGAAACCTATTTTCTCCTTCTATCTCAACAGGTGTGTGCACTTGCGTACGTAGTCGAATAAATAGAAGGACAACGGTGAACGTTTATTTATACGTTGCGCTCAGAGACCCGTCGGCGGCGCAGGGCGGCGAGATCATCCTGGGCGGGTCGGACCCCGCTCACTACCGCGGCAACCTCACGTACGTGCCGCTCAGCAAGGCCACCTACTGGCAGTTCCGCATGGAGAAGGTGGCCGTGAAGGGCCACGGCTTCTGCGCCAACGTGAGTATCCCGGGCGCGGCGCCGGCGCGGCCGCCGCCCGCCGCCGCCGCCCGCGCCTGAGCGCGGCTGTGCGTTGCAGGGCTGCGAGGCCATCGCCGACACGGGCACGTCGCTGATCGCCGGGCCCTCGGCCGAGGTGGAAGCGCTCAACCGCGCGCTGGGCGCCACGCCCATAGTGTTCGGCCAGTACGCCGTCGACTGCTCGCTGGTGCCCTCTCTGCCGCAAGTCGTCTTCACCATCGGCGGCACCCAGTTCGTGCTCGAAGGCAGCGACTACGTGCTGCGCGTAAGTGCTCACGGCCCTTTCACTACCGTTTACGACCGCGCCTTATTGTAACGATACGCATTTCGTTCGTACCGATGCGAGTAGATGAATCGTCTTTCTAACGGTTCGCGCAATAGCAGAGACGTGTGATTGTGCCAGGTGTCGCAGTTCGGCAAGACGGTGTGTCTGTCCGGGTTTATGGGGCTGGACATACCGCCGCCCAACGGCCCGCTGTGGATCCTGGGGGACGTGTTCATCGGCAAGTACTACACCGAGTTCGACGTTGAAAACAAACGCCTCGGCTTCGCGCACGCCGTTTGAAGACATCCTGTCTCCAGCTCTCTAGTCCCTCTCCGACTCCTCTCACTCTTCAATTACCATCCGAAACAAAGACTGCAGCTCTCATTTCGTAGACTCTGCTCCGGTCTTTTCTACGTGTCCTTTCAAATTGGCTCTACATTCATTCCCGCTTATAAAGTACAGACGACAGCACATCAAGCTATACATTAACGGATCTTATTCCGTTGCACTGGAAATGATATTGCTATATATATGATATTTGAGCAAAAGCTTGATGTGCTGTTGACTGTACATTGTTACACGCGTATATGCCATTGCTTCCAATTCAACAATCACTGCATTGTATGGGAAAAAATATAACATTGTTCTTCTTTATTGTCTATTTAGTGTTTAATTTTGTTACACATTTTAAGCGTTAAGGTAAAGCACCTTGGATCATAAAGAAACGTTGACGAAGAATGTCGTAGTAGGACGGACATAGACATATTCATGACAAATAATTGCTAAATAGTGCACGCTAGTTAGGTGCTTTTTAATTAAACCTTAATCATTGTGTGTTTGGATCAGCCAGGTACCTACGTAATACATGATGACGTGTTCCAAACACGCGTTGGTCTAGTTTTTAGTTTAGTCTGTAACGACATGTACCAATTGTTAGCACGTTTTTATCGAAACAATAAATATTTTTAGTCATCACTCTGTTCGTCTTATTTCTTACCAACTTGGGATACTCAACGACGAAATACCTAATTTACAAAACCGGTACAACCTTTTCGTTACTTACCATAAACGACATCCATACAAACATAAAAATCAACAGTTCACCATCCTAACACTACTTGGCTTCAGGCAATGCTTTCTTGTCTTCATCATGTTGACTATGGCACGGCCTATTATTGTAAGTACAACGTTCTCTTAAGATGTTCAGTAGCGTTGGTTTCGAATTTACCTGTGTGGACGTCGCGTCGGTAACGCATTCGTATTGAGGGTCCTTCTTTACGTACCTATGTAATTGCTACAAGATAACGTTCATTCTCCTCTTTTTTATATCTTTAGAAGACCTATCTGCTGCTGTACCTTAACTTTCTAACATTCTTTGGGAGTAACGATATCTATGTGCGTACTAGTTTGGAGTCATCTTTTCGTCAAAAGGTAAACTCGTTCAACACAATGCATTATCATTGATAGCACTTGCCTTATTATATTTTTTCTTGTTTCTGACGTGACCGAATTTTTGATATGGACATGGGGTCACTTTTCGTGAAGGCCACACGTTGCTGAACTTTAGCGCTCATTTCTTATTGAAAATCCCTCCTCCTCCTCGGATGTGAATCTATTTGGACGTGCCCGCGTATTACTCTGATTTTTTATAAAATAAAAGTGAGTTTGTGTTAGTTTAATTCGTAACAAAAATCAGGCCTCCATAAACAAAGAGAAGATACTGTTTCCTACATTTAATGATTCCGGTACTTCTAGTGCCCTGGTATCACAACTGCAGCTACCTACGCATCACCGCTAA